GCATCCACCTGAGAGAAAAAGAAAAGAAAGGGACAGAGTAATGGAGCAAGAAGACAAAACTTGGAATCTCTCAAGGAAAAGACAGGAATTCTCACATCCAAAGGTAGGAAGAACATCCTTCCCAAAAAGTATTACAAAATGACAGGGGGAGATTATCCCTATCAGGCCTAGTGATCTGCCTGATGTTCTGCATTTCTGTCCCCTACACATGGATGCTGTCACATCTCCCAGTCTGAGCAATTCTTTGATTATTGATTTGTCTCAGTGACTCTCATGAAAGAACTTAAGGACTGATGCATACAGCCCCCTGTGAGCAAGAGGCACAAGATCAGGCCTGAAAAACTGTGAGCCAACAGCACTGGAACAAAACTGTGTAAAGGTGGAAATAACCACTGGAAGGAATACTAGCTGTATGACATGGGAACATGCTGAAAAACCACAGCTGGAGAAAATGAAATGATGTCTCTGTTCTCAACAAAATCAAGTGCTTATCACATTCGATTTTGAAGTAATACAAAGAACCAGTAGCTTACAGCCACAAGACTTTCTAGAGAAAGTTTGACTAATTTTTGTTATTACCAGGAAAACAGGAAAGCAAAGGAAAATAGAAAGAATCATTTCCCTGAAGTTTCCCAGCAAGTCACTTGTAGTGCCAGGCTTTTGGTCTCCAGGCTTGTTATTGCTCAACTCTGTGTGGATCCAAGTGTCTCTTTGCTCAGAGATGCTGGCACCCAACATCATTCCCACTCAGTGCAAAAAATCCAGTTCATATCAATTCATATTTAATGTAGTAACTTGGCTTAGCTCACATGACCGTTAAATAAAATTGGCTTTTTTGGTACTGTTCAAATCTGTACTAAAAAGGTGAATCAAGCCTTATGTTTAATATAAAGTGTGGGTAAACAATTGCATATATATATATATACATCAGTTACCAACATTCATAAAAAGAGGCTATATATTGATAACTAATAACATTAAGTAATTCTAAAGTATAGTTAATGTTGACGTTGCAGTAATTTGGAATAGTTATTCTGTGCTTAGCTTCCCATGAACTGAGTTTAAGTGAGAAGAAAAGTCTTAAACCTTAGTTCAGTGTCTTCTGAACTAAGGTTTAAATCTTCCAAAAAATGAAGGCTTCCCTTTGAAGAACTGGTGGTGTCAGGTGCTAGGGACTGAAGCCGTGCACCCTTGGTTTAAAATTGTTAATGTCTATCTCATCTGCTCTCTCCTATCATCTTCAATTTGTCAACAGTATGTAGTAATATGTTTGATTCATTAGAGGTGGAAAAAGGATGGTGAAAGCAAGTAAATATGCCAGATATCAGTCACTTAAACCCCACTAGTATTAAGTCACCTCAATTTGTTTGTCTCGTAAAAGCTGGCCTCTTGTTGGGTGATTTGAGGCCAGCTTGATTCACCACCAAAATGTGAGCCTGGAACTGACATTGAATTCGCAGATGTGCATAAGAGAAATCTCTTGAGTTTTAAAATAATTGACTTTAGGGGGAGGCAGGAAGAATTTAAACAGCGTTGTTAAGCAGACCGAAGTTAATCAGTTACTGTCATTGCTACTGAAAGCAGTTGTAGTTTGACATCATGTTCATTTTCTAATTATTTTGTATAAAGATTAAATTATTATTTTTAATTCACTTAGAGTACACAAATCTGGGACGTTTCTGAACAACCTTCTTGCTTATAAACAACAAAAGGAAGTGATATCATACATGAGATTAATAGCCGAGGAGTGAAGTTTTTGGGTGTGCAAAATTTTTAATTTTAGAGCTTTCAGGGGAAAATGAAGTATAAACTCTGAAAGAAAAACAGCACTATTTGGAGTGAAGGATGCTGGAAATATCAAGCATATATTGAAAACACTATGCATGTAAGTATGTGGTGTGCCTGTAGAAAGGGCTCTGTAATTATAAATTCAGTCTTTCAGGCTTTTGGAAGTGATCTTAAAAACAATGCTGTAGTTTAAAAAAAATAAAAAATAGAGAGGACAATGTCTCTCTTGTCTCTCTGTTTATGCAGGCTGTCATCCAAAGCTGTCAAAGAATCAAGCCCTCTTAGCTGAGCTTTTCCAGGTGTTTTTTGTCTAGTGGAAGTTTACATACAGGCTGATTCAGAGGTGCAATGTCTACAATTGAATTACCAATGGTCGAATTCATTTACGCTTCTGTTCTCTGGTATTCAGTTGAGTCACAGAGAATCTTTTGGGTCATTTAGATCCACGTCTGCCCGCCCTTTTAATGGGAGTGATGTACTTTACATGTCAACACAGACTAACTTATCTGGCTCATGTTTTCTCTCTTGGAATGCAAAACTTAAAATAGATGCCATTTAATACTTGGCTTTCATGTAAAGACCCGTCTGCTGATGCCTGATGGAAACATTTTTAAACACTCCATTTAAAGATAATTTTGCTCATATGTTATTGATTTCTTCTATTCCTCTTCCTCCAGTTTAAATCAACAGAAAAAAAAAGAAGAGGATTTTGTATGATTATGATTTCAGCATTTTATTAGTGATCCTAGAGTGCTGTAACTTCCAAAGCAGTCAATATCGATGATGCTGTCACAAACAGAAAGTTGCAACCTGCTTTTTAGAAGCCGTGAATATTTGTCTTATCTCCCTTAATGTTTTTTTTTTTTTTTTTTTTTTTTTAAACACTAACTCCACTATTATATCTGATAGAAACGATGACAACTTTTGCCTAAGTTTTGAAAACAGCCTAATGCTCAGTTTGAGACATTTTGAAGCGATCTTATACTCAGAGCTGGGTAGTCAGCACTTGATGAAGGGCCAGCCTTGCTGCATGGTCTCCATTTGGGCACTTAGGAAGCCAAATATTCTAAATCACTGCCTCCTTTGAAAATACATATTCCAGTCACTTGATACGTGGGAAACTTGACGCAGTTAAAGCAATGTGCCCACAAGGTGTGATGACTGACTGCAAGAACAAAAAATGGAAATCGGTTTTATTAATTATCACTGATTGTTCAAATGAAAAATAAGTTGCAACTAAAAAAAGAAAAGATTGTTAAAGACCCCTGTAAACATAACCTTGTGTTTAACAACTGCAAACATTTTTTTTATTGCTGTTGTCAAGATTGTGGCAAATGGTCATGAGTTATGGAGATCAGACAGCAGAAAAATACCATCTTAAGTTAAAAAAAATGGTGAAAGCTATGATGGGTAAAGGGAAATCTCTGCTTTTGCCAGAATGATGCCTAAAATAATTAGAAGGGAAGAACCATTTGCTACAGAAGAGAAAGAAAAGGGTCAAATTTCAAGTTAGTAGGGTACATTTAAAGCATCTGGGCCTTTTCTAACAACTCTTCTAAAAATGTCCTGTTTCATTATTTACAGTGCTGCCTATCATGTTGGGAAAAAGGCAATGCATTATTTGAGCCCTGAGGTATGTTGTAAAGGACTTTGGATGTTTTAAGCCATGTATTGGGCAAAAGAAAACTCATGATATTTAAGCAATAACACACAGAAATGAGAAACATCTGCTATGGGTGCATTTGCATTTATCAGTCATCTGGTGGCCTCCTCTCAGCAACCTCACGCTAATGTTGACTTGGTATCGCATCCTTTAATCAAAATGCTCCTTTTGTGTGCATCTCAAACAGTGCTGTTCTTCAGCCCACACAATGACTGCTTGTTTGCTTCATGTTTATGAACTCCTTCAACAAGATCCCTAGAGCTTAAGCAAGAAGCTTTGGCCAACATTTTCCAAATGTCAGTGCTTAAAGCTTGGCATCTAATAAGCAACCTTCTTTGCAGAAGCTGTGAGCATCAGAATCTTTCTAGGGACTTGAGAAAGTATTGCTGCTCAGCATTTTGTGGCCATGTATGGATTAAAAAATCATTTTTTATGTGCTACGGTTGGGGACTAGATGTTACACCAAGCTACAGAGTTTCTATTACATGCATGCAAGTAAGCTGAATGTCTAAGATATGTTCATCATAGAATCCTAGAACCATTAGGGTTGCAAAAGATCTCCAAGATCACCTGGTCCAACCATCCCCCTACCAGCAATGTCACCCACTAGACCATGTCCCTCAGGACCAGGTCCAACCTTTCCTTGAAAACCCCCAGGGATGGTGACGCCATCACCTCCCTGGGCAACCTGTTCCAATGCCTGACTGCTCTTTCTGAGAAGAAATGTCTCCTCATTTCCAACCTAAACCTCCCTCGGCACAACTTGATTTACTATGATGACATGAATAGTAATACTTTATGAATGGTGATACCTATGCGTGGATAAAGCTAGTTTGTCTTGCAGGTATTTTTCATTCTGACTGGCTTCAGAGGAGACTGTAGACTGTAAGCAAATCACTAATACCTGTACGTACTGGGATCAGCTCTTCCCAAACCAAACAGCACCTGAGGTAGAATGTACAGGGGCCAATGTTTATAAGATCAGGTCTGGATTAATTATTACATGGAATGGCACTGAGCAACAAACTTTGCTCTTGAGTTATTATGGGAGAAATAATGCTTGATGGAAGGGAAGGCTTGACTTCAGGTTTCATGTCTGAAGCCATCAGAGAGGTTCATGACTTTTCAGTATGAAAAAAATGAATTCACATGAGTGTGACTAGCTTCCAGAATTCAAACATATCCTTAGCATAGGAGTGTGGGGATGGGAATATGTAGCACTAATATCTTACTTCATTCAGATTCCAAAGTTTGCCTTTGGAAAAAAAGCACCTGAAAAACACTCAAAATTGTTCTTGATAGTGAATGTAATAACAAAAGAAGCCACAAAAAACAAAGATGCAGGAAGAAACTTGCACATTCTAGAAATCTCAACAAGGTATTGTGGTGATACAAAACACTTGCTAACTCCTTCCCTGCAGACCTAAGCCTCTGAAATAAGGTGCACCTGGTCTCACTTAGCCTTTCCCTCAGCTGTTTTTCTATGGTTGATTATTGCCATCTCTCTGTCGTTACAAATGATTCAGAAGCTGAAAGCAGAAGGTTTATTTTTTATTTTTTGTGTGTGTTTCCATTTGTATAGAAATGTATGTTTTTATCTAGGAGATGTGGTTGCTTGCTGCTTTCTTTGGTAGTGCACGTATTTGTCATTGTGGAAGAAGTCTAATTGTGGACTTCTATATTTCCAAATTAAAATGGTAAAAATCATATAGTCTCTTGAGGACATCTAGCTCTTAATGAAAAATACCATGTAACTGAAGAGCTGGCAAGACTGTAGTAAGTTTTTTTTTTTCTCTCCCGTTATATATGTGTATATATATATATATATTTTTTTTTTTTTTTTTTTTTGTGGCTTTCTCATCATTATTGGTATAGCCAAGCAGATACAACCCTAGAGGGACTGTTTTGGAGCTGGCTGCAGTTTTGCTTCTCTTCTCCTTCTTCCAAGTGGTAAGTGTTTTTGATTCTTGCTATGCTTTTTATACTTTTTTTTTTTTCCCTAGTGCTCTCAAGGAGACATTGAGTAAAAGTTTCTGAAGCAGAAGGAATACTGAGGCTTTTGAAGTTGGCTTGTATTGTTGTTAAAATGTAATTGTTTAGGGGGAAGAAGTAATAATGAGTTATAAAGATTTGTGCCGATAGCATTTTCTTCAATACCACAATTTGGAAGAAAAATAAATGCTCTCTGAGGAAAGATTTTTCTTCTAATACTTGGATGTGTATACTGTATCTCTGTGCCTATGAAATGAACTTTTCTAGATCCAAGGAACTTAAATGTGTATGACTGAAAGGAGGTGAAAAATCAAATATACTTGCTTGAATTTAAACATGTCTTAAAAATTATCTGAAGTTATTTTCTGTTAGTAAAAATGTTATTAGTTGACTCTCTGCCCTTGTTTCTTGTGCATCTCTAGGCCCCTAAAAAGTTCTCTGGATTACTTTTTTGTGTATGTGTGTTGCAGGTGCATTTAACAATTTCTGAATTCATTTGCCAGTTTTCTATACCATGTATACATATAATTCTTCATCATCTTGTATCCATTAACAGAACAGAGGCAGAGATGTTGCAATGGTGTTACTTAAGTCCCCATCTCCTCGAATCAGTGGATCATGTTAGATTTTTACACTTCATTTAGTAAATCTGCCAATGACCCTCATGTTTCAGGAAGGCTGGAAAAAAACCTGAAAGATATGGACTAACTGTAACCCAAATGCAATAGTTTCTGAGGGGGTTAAAGAATAGCTTTGAAAATTATTAATGGCTTTATAAATTTTGATGGCATGTCAGCTTCACAAAGATCACCAGCAGATAGCTGTAGAGGATGTAGAGCTTGCTGTTATGCTTATTTTCTGTGTTTATTTTGGGGATGGGAAGAAAAGTAGCTTGTGTTTTTACTCTGAGGGTCCCTTTTGTCAGCACCTATGGGTCAAGTAATTTACTGAGTGTTGCCCATGTTTTAAAGGGTTATAAAAAGCAAGAAGAGACATGTTGTACCAAGGACTCTAGAAATGCATTGATGTGGTGCATCTGTCCCCTTCCTTTTCTGCTTTGGGTTTAATAACAGCAAATACTGTGATGAGGAATAAAACACTTGTAACTGTGATGTTTCTATTTTTTAAAGAGTTTAAAGGCCATAGTCCCCGGCTTCTATTTTGTGTCCTCTTAATAGGGCTGCCTGGCCTGAGATTGCATTCTTGAAAATAACCTCAGGTGGTACAGCAGTTGTGGATACTGTGAAATGTGTCTGTGCCTGACTGTTCACCTTAGGCAAAGCTCCTTTTGAAAGTTGGATTGTTGGCTGAAGGCAGAGTGGAAAAATAGACCCCAAGAGGACGGCTTTCATACTTCAGTAAAAGTGTGAGGACTTAGTAGAAGTATTTGAAAATTACAGAGTCTGGAATATGCTTGCAGTGGATGTAGTTTAGAGATTCTGAACTCCAAAGGCAAGACAGAAGGGACTCTGGCTTTGTGTTAAAGGGAAAGGTATGTATTGCTCTATGAGGCAACACTGCTTATGGCAGCGTGAAGCTCTCTCTGTACCATCTTTTTCCTGTACTCTGGTGAAACTATGACAATTACTGATCTTCAAAATGTTGGACTTCAATGTTTCTAAGCATGTCCTGTTATTTTATAAGGCATTCTGTTATTCATTTTGCTTAATCCCTAAACTGTACGAGTGGAAGTGAAGAAGAAACGTTATCATAGAACCTGATATTTTAACAGTAGTAATACAGTAAAATATGTGGCAAACTTCCAGGTTCCTACTACCTGTATAGTGCTTTTCTGCCTGCCAAGTCTTTGTTTAGCGGAAGAGCAATGATTTCTTTACCTCTTCCATCAAGTAAATTTAATATATATTTATCTTGCTGGACATTGGCGTGATATTAACATCTGTTTTCATTTCAGTGGGATATCTGTAGCCTAGAAGGATGGTTGCTCTCATCTGGTTCATTCAAATTCTGAGGTGCTTTAAGTTGTCTTTAAGAGTATCCTGTGTTACTAAATGGGAGTTTGAGGAGGGGGGAAAAACAAATGAGCAATGGGAAGGACTAATTCTGCCTTTAGAAAGGCAAAATATGAGACTGTTCTCCTTCCTCAAATTCTGTGTTTGTTTTAACATCTGACTTGTACTCAGGCAACATATGTTCCTTATGTTCTGTGGTGAGGGTAGGGAAAAATATTCCAAGAACCTTGTGTGTGGAGTATTTGCTGAAGATGAATGAGCAATCATAAGGACCAGAAGTTAGCGCGTGCACTCTAGAAGAACATGCGTAATTAAGAGGATCTGAATAGTTACTGTTCTCCCTAACCAACTGAGTGAGGCACATGTGCTGCTGAGGCAAGTTGTTGAATGGAGATGATGCAGAGGAAGGGAAGCTGTCCAGAAGCGCAGCTACCTCAGCATAATAACAAGAGTGGTGGGTACATTGAATGCGCTGTACTCAGTGCTACCTGTCCTGTGGTAAGCTGTTGTTTCATGCAGCTACCCTGCTAAGCCTGCCTCACTGAGTGGCAACACCTGTGTCTAAAACATTAACCTAGCCCATAAGCCAATGATGCTAGCAAAAGGCAATTTCAAAATGGAAAATGAACTCCTATTCTTTGCTGGTTTCTTTGTTTTTCACAGAATCACAGAATTTCTAGGTTGGAAGAGACCTCAAGATCATCGAGTCCAACCTCTAACCTAACACTAACAGTCCCCACTAAACCATATCCCTGAGCTCTACATCTAAACATCTTTTAAAGACTTCCAGGGATGGTGACTCCACCACTTCCCTGGGCAGCCTGTTCCAGTGTCTAACAACCCTTTCGGTAAAGAAGTTTCCAAACTAGGCTATTCCTACAGCTTCTTTCCTTAAGGCCAGTCTGTACCTAATTCACTTCACCACCTCTCCTTAGCTCAGTCTTGTGTCTAACCAAAAAATGTCAGCTTTGCTAATGGCAGTTAGCTTTAGATCTCACCCCAAATGCTATAGTCCAGCAACAGGACAATTCTGGCATGATTTTACGCAATAAGTTAGGGCAATAACGGTGATGTAGTTCAACTCATTTATTTTGCTGTGCACGTCACCCTGGAATGGCCTGCTTGCTAAAATTGAGCAATGAATTGACTGTTGCTTTTTGGTATCACTTAGTTTAAACCGGTTCCTCGAGGGATAGCCCCAAAAAGCAGATGTTTGCTAAAGAATAATTCATTATTCTGCAACATGTAACTGTCCTGTGACACTTAAACAACCCACACACACCAAAAAAAGCAACAAGCAAATTGATGTTTCGTAGATGTAGTGTCAGAGAAGAATGTCAGAGTGAGTTTCTAAACTGTTTTCTCGGTGTATTTCCACTGAGGCTCTCTTCCTGCCTCAGTAATGAAGGAGCAGGACTGGATCCCGAATGGTTCCTTTACTGCATCACCCAAATGGATTGTCCAAGTTGCTATGTGAGCAGCAAAACTAATGAATTTTGATTTCTTCTGGATTTACATTCTTTACTTTCCGGAGGCCAAACTGAATGACTAACAGATGAATCTTGTCTGCCTTTCCCTCTGTGGGCATGCCAAGCTGTGTCTCTACCCACTGATTTTCAAGAACTTGTGCAAGGATATAATTCTCCTTTAGACTCTAGACTTCTTTCAAGATGAATTTCAAATTGTCCAGCAAGCAAAAAAGTTATTTTGGGGTGTGGGGAGTAGATGAATAGATGAATAGACAAGGAAACAGCATATTGAGATAAACAACTCTTTCTATCTTAAAAAAGAACGAAGAAAAAGAAGTGTAAGTCCTGCATGCAACACTCCTCAAGAGTAACATTTTCTACAAAAGCATTAGGGACTTCTTGGCTTTGGAGTCCTGAAATCCATGTAAAAGGCTGAATACACTAGGAATGATGTCTGGCACCAGTGAACACACAGGCTCAGCCAAGGTAGTGTACAAACTATCAGCCTCCTTTAGCATTTTTGGTAGGATGGTGAGGAATTACAAATCTTGCTGTTGGAAATGTGTGTATACTGTTTTGAATCACACCTACATGTAGAAACATTCCAGATCCATTTCATAAGTGCCAAAGCTTTTGCTATCTAGCCTGGAGGATACATCTTTTCAATATTCTCTCTGAAGTAAACTTTTGGTTTAGCTTGCACATACTATACAGTGATTTAGCACTTTTTAAAAAAACAACTTCTTTTAACATACTGATGTAATTGGAAAAGCATACGTGTATAACTTATTCCTTTAAACCTTTCCACTGAATTGAAATACTTAACATTTCTAAAGCCAAGCACATGATCACTTTAACACTGCATATAAAAGAGGGTTACTGCAATAAATCAGATGACTTGTTGGATATCTTTCCTTTTACTTCTGCTTCAAAATAAATTCCTAGCAACTTTGAAGAGATGACAGTATTATCCTTGAGTAGAAAAATAAACTTGAAAATGTAATGGATGTAGCTAACAGCTGTTCTTTTATTACATTTTAAAAGGTTGCTTCAGGTAAGGATCCATCTGTGGGAATGTGTTTAAAAGAACAGGAGACATTCAGAGACAAACGCTGCCAGTAAGTGGCTCACAGGACATAGCCTACAATTCTGCTTTACAGAAGCACTGGACTGACTTCCTACACCATTCTGACCCCAGCCAAAAAAATAAGGATGAGGTGAAAAGGTAGAATCTGAGGGGAAACATTTTTGAACCCAACAAGGGATTTCATTTTGACAAATGAATTGCATTTCATGACTTATTGCAGCCTTTTCTCTCTTCTTTGGTGTTTATATGTGAATATGTTACACTTACCTCTGGACAAATAAAAACACCATAGATGTATCATGATACCAACAGAGTTGTTAATGCTCATCCTTGCCACTTTTGCTCCTGTCAGTATGTAGGGAATTACACCCTTTCAGCTCCAGTTTCATAGCAGGGGAAGCTAGCATAATGCTATCTGTTTTAGGAGAC